GAAAAGCTGCTGTCTGGAAAAGAGAAGTGGGCCCTTGATTTTTATGTTCTTGTGTGTCCGTTCCTCGAGTCAAAGCAGCCTCTTTGTGCCCATGCGGCTTTTTTTGGGAGTCCAATCGCACAAATTTGATTAGAGTCGTTCGCCTGAGCGCCGCTGGGCCCGCAGTGTGGCCCCTTGTTCTCCTATTTGCCCCCGAGAAAGTTTTTGGCGTGCAGAAGCAGACTTTGAACTGACCCATTTTGTTTCTTCCCCTCTAACCTCATTTGCCGCACTCTTTGGCTTTCTCTTCTTCTTTTTTTTCTAACTTCTGGCCCCCTTCTCCACTCTGTCTGTCATTGTTACGTTTGCCTATTGCCTGAATGTCACAGCAAAATAATCAGCAGCCGCCAATTCATGCACTCCGCTGCTGGGCTCCTGTTGCTTTAAATGAATAGCTTTCGCATTGAGGATGTGTTATGGATGAAGAAAACCCGAGTCACCATCTGGTTCGGTGCAAAACAGTCTGGTGAAGCGTGAAGTATTGTGAGGTGAACCTGATGAATAGTTATGATGATATTTGATTCCCCTCAAAGTAGTTTTGTCAGCGCTGAAGGTAAAGCATTAAAACTGCATCGCATAAGTAATGTTGAGGAGAAGGAATGAGGCCTTCGCCGGTGTGTATGTTGCATTTGTTTTATGCTGCAGCTAATGAGTCTCTGCAGTTCAGGTTTTTTTATTGCCAGATCGGACCACAACAGCAATTGAGTTTGGGACATTAGGAGAAAATCTGAAGAGAAATAAAGGTTGGCTCTTTTGGTAAAGGGTGTGTTCCTCGAAGTGATTTGGTTTGTTTTGTCTTAACGTGACAATAGTGTCTTCAAACCAAGGTCTGGGCATTTGCTTTTCTTTATTATGTCTACCTTCTCTCTTTGAAAGAGGCCCTCGGGTTTCCTAATTCAACCAAGGCCAAACGGTTTAGGGCCTGCGGAGCGCGATGATTTTTTTTTTTTTTTCAAAAAATAAATTAACTTGTTGACAACAAAGTAACATTTCATTATTTTAAAGTAATAAAAACAATCATTCACAGCAACTGAAATGGCTTGAACAAATCACTTTTGTTCAACAATTACTTCGAGTGGTGGCCCGGTAGTCGTGTTGTTAGCACGTTGACTTCACAGTGCAGAGGTACCGGGTTCAATTCCAGCTCCAGCCTCCCTGTGTGGAGTTTGCATGTTCCCCCAAGGCCTGCGTGGGTTTTCTCCGGGTCCTCCGGTTTCCTCCCACGTTCCAAAAACATGCATGGCAGGCTGATTGAACATTCCATCTTGTCCCTAGATGTGAGTGTGAGTGCGAATGGTTACTCGTTTCTGTGTGCCCTGCGATGGGCTGGCAACCGGTTCAGGGTGTCCCCCGCCTACTGCCCGAAGACGGCTGAGATAGGCTCCAGCACCCTCCGCGACCCTCGTGAGGATGAAGTGGTTTGGAAAATGAATGAATGAATTACTTAGAGTGAAAGAAAACTGTTGTTGCATGCCGTTGGGTTGCCAAAAGTCAGGATGCATTACAACTCTCGGACTGATATTGAGGAAAAAAAATTGGTCCGATACCAACAAAACTGGACAGAAAACAAAAGCTGCTCTCATATACACCAACATTGGTGACATAAATTGTTAAATATTTTCATCTAAATCTGCATCAATATTGTTGCCATCCAGGCAGTTCTTTGTTTTTTGGAGCACAAGTAGTAGTGAGTTGACCTAAGGTGAAGGGTTTGCTTGGGTCCTACATCTGCTTTCGCCTACACAAACCGACACCAATGCTCTGTCCACACATCGTCTGTTATTTTTACGTAACGTTGACCAATTTGAAGTGGTGAAAATATATGTCTGAGAAGTGTTGCAAAAACTTCGTCTATTTCCTCGTTCTGTCCAAGCTATGTGGCGTAACTGTCACCTGTATTTAACGGCGGGGCTTGTTGATAGTCCAGTTTCGAAAAAATTCAGCCCCCGCTGTAAATGACTGTATCCTGGTAGAGCACTTGTGATCGTGAATAGGCAGAATATTTTCAATGCAAATGAGAAAAGATTGGAGAGAGATTTAGAAATGAGTTTCAAGGGATTGATTCTTCAGTGGCCAACCGGTACCCGTAATGCATTATAGCGTTCTTAAGTATAAATTACTTGGACGTAAACACTTGTAAATTAACTTTCTTCACATACACAAAAATGCAACACTTTACTTGCTTTACATTTCTTCACTAGAGTACCATAAAAGGACCACATGTTTTAACAATATCGCAAGAATCAAATCTACAACAGAATTTTCAACAGTCTGTAAACAGTCGCTGCAAGGCCGCAAATAACATTTAAAACATATTTTATTACGATTTTCTTTCCTGACCTTGTCAGGATGACATCAAAATAAAACGTACCCGGTTGGATGAGTGTGGGAGAACTCTCGAGTGTCCTGGACTGTTGTACAGGACAGACAAAAGGAAGGACAAACTTGTTCTTTCACAGGTTGTCTTGTCACAAAGACGCTTTCAGGCTTGCCTGTGTTCAATGACATTCATGTTGAAAACTGTGGCAATTGATGACTGCTCTGCTGGCGTGTCCTTCGGAGCCCGACTGGGATAGCTTACCCTGAAGTCCTACATGGTAAAGGCTTTTTATTGCATCTCAGAGATATATGAAGGGCCCGGTGAACTTTGACCTTGGGCTTGAACCCCTTGGCAGAACAGGACAGGAAGACACATCGAGCTACAATACCTTAAACTCTCATAAATGACTCAGTGTACAGTATTTCATTTAAAGAAAAAAAAAAGGGGAAGTGTGGTAACATCTCAAAGCACTTTCACTCATGTGTTGGTGACAAATTAATATTGACTCGTCATACTATTTTTTTTCCATGTAAAAGTTTTTATTTTTTGTTTTTTAGTTTTTTTTACCATTTCTGTTAGAATGTCATCAAGCCATTACATGAATGACATTCCTCTCACTTCATTTAATTGTTTCTCTAATGAGTGAAAGCCCTGTGTTGATTCCAACAATAAGAATAATGCAGATACTCGAGCTTGTCCCCAAAAGCGGCTTTAATGCTAACAGAATCTTCTCTGCTTCGGAGTGAAATTCAACCCCCTCAAAAAAACAAAACAAAACAAAACAAAACAAAACAAAAAAGAAATCTCTGTAATTAAGGCCCCCGCTGATGTGAGCAAACATAGCGTATAATGATCGGGTGCGATAGAGTGCTTTTAATGATGGGACGTGTTTGTGCCAACCATACCGACGATGACAGCTATGTGATCTATGAACATTTACTCACCTGTTACGGTGATAGCACTGATGACAGAGCTGTGATTTAGAGAAGATTTAATGCAGAGTACTTTACCAGCTAAACCCGGCATGACACCAGGTGCTAAACATGCACATACATGTTGAAGACAGTGCAACTCTTTTAACATTTACCTCAAGGCTTGGTAAGTAAGGCCCTGTACACTCAGAGAAAGGGATGATACCAGCAGCACAAGGTTTTTTTTTTTTAAACATGATAGAAAGAGTTGAATGAGAATGTATAGAGAGACAGATACAACGCCAGTCAGTGGCACCACATTCCCTTCGGACGTTTGCTCTCGTTGATCCACCCTGTTGTCATTTCCAGTCAATATTAATTCAAACTTTAAACACACACCCTTCCACATTACGGATATGCACACACACACACACACACACACACACACACACACACACACACACACACACGCAAACCTTCCAAGCACTAAGTGCCAGAATCTCAGGGAACTAATTAAATACCCCTTTGCCTGTTTTAAAATGTCGCTCTTCGGACTCATCTGGATTGACATATTTTTCACAGAGAAAATAAAAGGGCTCTACTGGTGGTCACACCGCCACATTAGCAACACTAGTCTACTTGTGGATTATCATATTTGGGCGGGAATGTCAAGTTTCTCAAAAGAGGTGCATGCAAGTTTGGATTTAGGTATACCCATGCGATATATGAGCCACTCAGTCAATAAATGCATTTTTTTTTTTACCAGTTTGCCGACAGAAACTGAAATTTGCAAAAGGTCTTGATATTTTACGAAATGTTATATTATCTTGTGATCCTTACATACAGCAGGCTATGCAAGATTGCTAAAAGTGTTTGCTCCCCTGTCTTGATTGGCGTATGAACGTATTGCCATTATATTCTTAATCCACGGCCTTTAATATGATGTCAGCCTCCCCCTTTTTGCAGCTCCAATAGGTTCGACTCATGCGGGAAGATTTCGGACAAGGTTTAGGAGTGTCTTTATGGGATTTTTTTGACCAATCTTCCAGGAGCACATTTGTGGTGTGACACACTGATGTAGGATGAGATTACTTGGGTGTCAGTCTCCGCTCTAATTGATGTCCCGTCGGGCTGAGGTCAGCAGATTATGCAGGCCAGTCCAGTCCATCCACAACAAATTCCCTCATCCATGTCTTCATGGACCTTTCTTTGTGCTCTGGCTGCACAGTCATGTTGCAACAGGTAGGGGGACATCCCAAATGTTAGTGGCATGGAATTTGTCCAAAACATTCGCCTTTTGGCTGCACTGAAACTCTGATTGCCGCAGCAAAACCAAGAGATTGTGCACTTGGGAACGCTTGTCTCAATGACTGAAATAAAACCCAGTGTCTTGTTCTGAGCCGATGCCAGCTGATTTTGGGCCTCGACTGGTTGCCAGTCAGGCACGTACAGAGAGACTCACGCCGCCATTCATACCCGTGGACAATTGAGAGACTTCCAGTGTGTTAACCTACCATGCGTACCTTTGGAAAATCCCAAGAGGAAAACTCTGACATTTTAAACACAGAACCTCAGTCTGTGTTGATGACGGGTCACACACTGGCCGGCGCACTGTCCTGCTGGTTGTCATTTCTTAATTTTGCTCAATTGGTTGCTGATGAGCGTCTCCTCGCGATTGATGCTTATTTTGAATTTCGCAATCATCTGATCATTTTTTTCTGTTGTCACAGGGTTCCTGAAGCCCCAGTGCTCGTTAGCTCCTCCGATGCAGCGAGGCCGCCCAAACGATGCCTGTTCCTGTTTCAGTGGCATGTGTTCCCTCCATCAGCGTCGACTGTCCTCCGGTAAAGTTGTCTATCCCCGCAAAGCTGTTCTGCCTGTGGGCTTGTTCCCTCTTGGATAAAATAGATGGAAATTGCCCTCAGTGAATTAACATAAAATGCCCGCAGTGAATTAACCGATAAGGAATTCAATGAGTCGGGTTGTTGTATTAAAAAAATATATATTAATATTGAATTGGCTTTATAGTGCACAGTAACATTGTAGAATATACTTGTTAACATCCAAATCATCATTTTATCAAAGATACAGTCATTTCTAAAATGTTCATGAAAGCCTGAGTACCGCCAAGAGAACTAAAACAAATCTGATCATTTTACATTTGTCGTGTTCTGCAATCAAATCTTATTCGAGCCCGATCAAAGCACGAAGATATGATCTGCAGTTCTCAAATGTATAATCAGTTGTCATTTGCGTCATAATAAGACAATGAAGTCAACTTGTAAATATGTGTTCTAAACTCGAGTGGAAACGTGTTCCGTGTTTGTATTCCTCACACAACTGCCTTCAAGATTTACCTTGGGGCCTTTTTGGAGACAGCACTGTGCTTGGTTGCTATGATTTATGGTGTGTTTACATGCGGACTGACTGGGTAACAGAGGTGCTCAGAGAATGCTCTCGTCCTGATCTCTGCATTTTTTTTTTCCATGTCTCATATTTCCAGTAGATGAAAAATGAAATACGGAACATTCATAATCCATTGAATCTAATCCTTGAAGCATTGAGACATGTCTCCGTTCTGTTTCGAACATGAAATCAGTTAGATTCAGTAAAGTGGTTGAAGAGATTTAAATAAGGCCCGAGCTACATTTGCATGACGGCTTTTTGGACACTGAAAAACAAGCTTTTTGTTGCTGTTGTTGTTGCTGTTGTTGTTGTTGTTGTTGTTGTTGTTGTTGTTGTTGTTGCGCCACAAAATGAGTTCATGTTGGCCAGCCGTGACACATTACCAACATAATTCAAATCCTCAACCCAATTTATGGACCACATTCTTAAAATCAAAATCTATGATGTGCTGTGTTCACATCGGGTCATATTTGGTTCCGTTCCAACAAACGTCACTGCGATTGCTCTCCTTGCTCAGTGCGAAAGCGGGCGCACGCCAAACAAGCAGACCAAGGCCGCTCGAAGAGTTGGCTTTCGGCCCACTGAAGTGAGCTCAAATGTTGCACACCGCAAGAACCAAGACAAAGGCATGGAAAATCCTACTGGACCCCCCACATCCTGCCCACCACCTTTTCCAGCTACTCCCCTCAGGCAAGCGCTACCGATCCATGCGCACCAAAGCCAGCAGACATTCAAACAGCTCCTTCCCTCAAGCCATTAACTCCCTGAACAATAACCCAGTGGCTCTTTGTAATTTTGCACCCCCTGTGGAACGGCATTACTGCAATAATCATTGTAGCTCCAGCTCTGTACTTACTTGAACCATTGTCACTGAGCTTTATTCTACAGCACCAGACACTTTAAAGCTTTCAAGTACTTCTTTACAATTGCACACTTAAACTTGCTCTACAAATACTGCGACTGGTCACTTTAAAACGGTGCAATGACACCTCAGCTAAGGAGCCATCGAAGAGTCTTCCGCCCCGCAGACAGCGTTTCTCGTTTGCAACAAAAATTGCTTTTTGACATGACTTTATACAAGCCTTTTCCAAAGCAACTTTGGTCCAACAGTAAAAATGCAAATGTGAACTCTGAGCGAACCAGACCAAATTCACTCACCATATATTTCTTTTTTTTTTTTTTTTTTTTACTTTGATCTGGACCAGACGACTGAATTACAAGTCTTAACACAGCCTAAAAAGAAATATTTGATATTGTAAAATGTCCCACCACCTCTCTTGAGCTGCTTGCTCCTGGACGAGTTTGAGCATGATCGGTGAGGTGTTCACCTCTTACACCAAGCCTTTGCCTTTGTCTTTGTTTTTGGTTGAACAGCCCGCAGTAAAATTTGCCATGTTTCCTGCACAACTGGGAGCATGTGGTTGTATAGCACATTCACAAAAGTCAAACCCTGTTTATGTCGTGGCCATTTAAGGCCCATCGTAGTTGAGGATCCGGGTCATAGAGTAGATTTTGCCTGCCATAGACTCCAAAGCCTAATTTAGATGTGGAACGCGTTTGGTTGCACCATTTGTTAACATGAAGTAGAAGTTTTACAAGGTGATATTAAGCATGTTTTTTGGTTTGCTGAGATGCTCACTTGAGAAACGGCGAACGCTTGTCAAGAAACTGAGGTAACTGAAGCAGAGCAACGGGGGGCAGACAAACCCCTTCTGAAGTCCAAGCTTCATCGACCCTGTAATAATCATGGGTCTAATTATGGAAAGTGTTTCTATAAATCCTCGTTTGAGTGATTGTCCTCCAATCTCAGCATTTCAGTGGCCCGATTTCAACCACAATGACAAGCTGCTGTGAGAGGCGTGTAGCGGTGACCTAGCAGGAGTTTTCTGGGAAGGATTGCGAGCCTCGCCCCAGGAGCCAGATTCAGCAGCGATATGCTGAACTCCAGGCCGCACACTGATGTGGCTAAGCTCTGGTTTCAGGGGTTTTACGTTATTTTGGCCTTTAAAAAAAAATTTTTCGGAAAGCAAGCCTGAGAAACAAGACGGTTTGATATTTTGCTTTGCATAGGATCATTAAGGGGGAAAAAAAACCTGGATTTTTTTTTTTTGGGGGGGAAGAAAAATGAATCACTTTCCCTCTAGAACTGTGTTGAATGAGGTGAGCGAGAGGGATCACGCCAAAGAAACGACAATAAAAATAGGGCTTCTTGAAAGTGCACACAATGCAGGCCTTGTACTGTGATTTGGTCTGTCCTCATCGAGCTGAGTGGAGGAATGGAAAAGATTATCCGCAGGAATGTCTGGGGTGCCCTCAAACAGAGCGGGCCGCATGACTGGCCAATAGGAAAGAGGCCTGCAGAGCGGCAGGCTAATTTTTTCCTGATGAACTCAGCCGCCTGCTCCACAATGCAGTCTGATTGCCAGGGCTGAATTCACATATGGTCCCTGTTTGGAGGGTCCAACTGACAGAATCAATTCTGCCTGGAAAGGAAAGGGGGTGGGATGTTGGGTGTACATGATTATTACTGGCTCCCCTTTCCTTTTTTTTTTTTGCTTTCATTAGCCTTGAATGTGGACCGTCCACGGAAATGCTCCAGCATACTTTGACTGTCCCACTGTTTCTCACTCCTTCATTACCCGCTCATTCTGCTTTCTTTTCATTCCTCTTTGTTTTGTTTGAATAAGTAACAATTACGCACAACACTGCAGTGCATTCATGTTTACAGCAGACGTTTCCAGACACGGCTTGGTCTCAAATCCTCCCAATTAATTTGGATCTCCCATCTATCGGGTAGCGGGCCAAAATAAACATGAAAGCGACACATAGCCAGTGTTGTATAAGCAACCTTTGTACATTCATGCTCATTTATTTTTCTGCAATCTGCACTTCAGCATCAGTGCAATGGTCATGTCCACGTGAAGGTCTTCTATGAGTAGGCAACATGTGTTTGTAGACCTTGTGGTTACACAGCAGGGTTTGAGAGCGGAGCTTGGGGAAGGAGGGTGGGCGTCAAAGAAAGGCTCCGGGGAAGGATTGCGTGAAGTTAAAGTGGCTCCCATCTCCTCATATTTCCCATTGCGGGGTCCTACAGAGGTGAGGAGGGTCACTGAGAGGGGCCTCGTTAGCCTCAGCGTGCTCCATGCACCCTGCGCTCTAATTGGCTGGTCAGAGTCAATGCTCCCTGGTCACTTCCTGCTAGGTCAGAAGCCAGAGGGGGCCAGAGAATGCCTGGCTGCAGATTACGGGCTCAAGCCCCAATCATCGGCATCCACTGCAAGCCGTTCTCATACAAAACCTCTAACTATCATAAGTATTCTTTTTAATGAGCGGGAGTTCACTTCAGACCAGTGGACTGAGGTTTGTCATCCCTGGCGCCACAGCCGCCTAACGGTTCTGTTTTGATGAACTGTGTATAGATTATATTCACATGACTCATCAGACATTGACAAACGTTGTGGTTTCAGCTGCTCTTCCATTTCGGTTTACATTGCTGCTTTCACATAAACGAGCGGAAACAATATTTCGATGTATATTAGACACCAGTATAAAGCTCACAACAATAATGCACCTGAGTAGTACTTTTAAAACTATAGCAGCTTGTAATGAATTATTTTCAATTTTAATTCAGAGCAAGCGGTGTAATGTTTGAGCCAGTGCTCATTCAGGCCTTGTCAGCTTTCCATGTTGTTAATCAGTTGTTGAGTAAAATATTGATGGACAAGTCAAATGTTCATTAGTCTTGCCTTATTAAAGTAGAATTTAAAAAAATGACAGCACAGTCATCTAACAAGTCACATAACTTTCCGGTCGGGGCTCCTTCCAATTTGGAATGACAAGAGTCTTCTAAATATTCGTCAGCCTTGTCTGCCAGTGAGGTTTCCCCCTGTCACATGGGTCCTGGTGGCCATGGCTGACTCGGTCGTAACAGCTTGGGTGCATCTGCAGAGGCCAAGGTCTCCGCGCTCGCACAGAGTGATGGCAGTCGTCCACGTTGGGTCACTAGAAATCATACCGACTAAGCCTTTGATAACTCCCTGAGCCTATAATCCCCCTTGCAGCACCATCACAGTGAAATGCTATCTCATTGTTGCAGCTCAGATCCAGAGCAGGTCGAGGGCAGTAGACAGCTATGGACGCTGGGGATGGACGGGAAACTATCCTCTCTATCTGCTATCATGCAGTTATAGGCATGCTATCTGCTTAAATTATACAATTTACAATTTCTGAACGTCTGAAATTGTCAGCGGCACTTTTTTAAGATTTTAAATTAAATTTTGGGGCATATCATAAGGTCAAATCAAGGCTATTGCATAAATTAATGCCAAATTAATTACATTTTATTTGGTATTATTTTGCGCCTGTCGGCATCATTTCAGCCCCAAATGGTGATTGTTGGTGTGTCACATTTGTATTTCTTTATATAAAGCTCACGTGT